CCTCTCCCCTGTCAGTTCCGCCAACGATCACCGAGTCCTGGCCGAGAATTGGAAGTCAGAACCTGGTGATTGACATGCCGAGGAGCCAATAGCAGCGTGGGTATATATAGGTGATTTTGTGCATCCCTGCCGCCCTGTAGCAGTACTTCAGGGTGATCAGGAAGGGGTTAATAGATTGGGTAAGACTCTGTAGGAAAAATAAACTAAAACTTAAATACCTTATAGACTTTATCTGCACTTAAAACCTGGTCAATGGTGGGTGTGAGCATAGAGATGGAGCTTTCTGGTGCTGACATTTTCAGTGTTTAACGTGTGTTTTTTTTTTTTTTTTTTTCAGGCATTTAAGGCTGGTGTTGGATATTAAGATAAATAAGAGTTAGGAATATACTGTATTTATAACAAAAAATAGCATGGCAATTTGCCCAGTGAAAGTGAATGTACATTCAATCTGTTCAAAAGGAGGCAAAAGAAAAATGTTATTAGACTAATTCCTGTGCTGGTCAAATGTTTTCAATTAAATTTAATTGGAAAATATCACATTTACCATTAGATGACTCTGAATATCAGAAGACCTTTCTATGATGCTTACCACCATCAAGTGAAAAAATGCAGTATTTTCCATTTAAAATCAATGAAAAACATTCCACCTGCACAGGAACTAGCATTCTAACTAGCATAACAATAATTTTATGCCCCCATTCCTGCAGAATATATCCACATGCACTTTCACTATCTTGCTATCTTCATTTTTATATAAGAAAACCCTTATTGTTAAGCTAATGTGTTGAAGTGAACCTATTCTTTGCCCAAAGCAGTCAGTTCTCTTAACTGCCAACCTCCCAAGTTGCACTTACTCCTCTTGCCTTTGCTCCCCCACTTCTCTATTCTGTTGCATTGTTCACAGAAAGTAGTTCTGTGCATGTGGCAAGTTGTAACTTGGTACTTACTCAGGGATAAAAACTATCTACCTACCCCCAATGGCAGTATGGGGCACCTAAAAGGCCAATCAGAAAGCTCAGGGCTGTCAGATGGGAGGAACAAGAGTTAGTCATATGACCCACCCCATACCCAGAAGGACCATATTTTTATCTTTCTCAGTGGCTAACTGCAGTGGCTGGGGAGTGAAGGGAAGCCAAGTATACCCAGCTGGTGGAGGGTGGTAGTTAAAGAGTACCTCCACTTTCATGGGAACAAAATTACCAAATAAACAATGTAGCATATACAATTGCATCTCAAATCATACTGTACTTGAACGTTATTAAAAAAGACCTTTCCTTTTCAATCTGCAGAGCTGTAATTTTCTGTAAAATGTGGCTACCTGGAAGTGTTCTATACACAGACGGTGTACAGAACGCCCCCTGAAAATGTAATTTCCTGCTTGTGTGATGGGCTTACTGATTTTCCCAGAAGTCTGCACTTAGATACACATCAGACTTTTGGCATCCCCTGCAACAAAAATGTAATTTTTGGTCAGATACTCCCAAAAGTAAGAAACGTTTAAAGGGATGTAGACCCTGCCAATTTCCTTATCAGAGCCCTGCAGGTGCAGCAGTTGATTGGTAATTATAAAACCCATACAGGTTCACTCTGCACATGGACACAGACAAACAACTATTTCTTCATAATAACAAAAAGTAGGAAGATGCAACAAAGTTTGTTAAACTCCTTGCAATGTACATCAATCAGCCAAAGCTGATTTTTTTTTTTTTAACAAAAGTGGAGTTGCGCTTTAAGCGTTTCACCCTTGCATATTTTTCTATCCTAAAAATAACACAGTTGGTGTCAGGACCTGGGTCTGAGCCTACGATCTCTCATGTGTCTGGCGATCTCTCTTCCTGCCGAGCTGCCAGAGATGCGGGACAGTCCTCTGTCTCATCCATTGGACAATTCTGCCTTGTGTCCTGTTTCTGCTGAACCTTGAACAATTGCTGTGACTGATGTTATAGTGCCTGAACAAAAAAACTCCATTACTATCTACCTCCCCACTGGTTCATAAAGAAAGCAAAGTTAATACTATATTGTCTCATTTTGTCATCTATATTATATTTCACTGAAAACCATGAATTTCCACACTCTGCTATGCCAGACTCCGGGGCCGGGGGGAACTTTATAGACATAGAGTTTGCCCAAAGCAAACAAGAAATAGATCTGCCTGAGGGGATGATGATGGTTTATCAGGACCTGTTACCCATGAAACGATTCCTTTGGTACATCAATTTGAGTCTGACCATCATGAGACTATCAGATTTCAGCTGATTACATTACTAACGTTTCCTGTCATCCTGGGTATTCCTTGGTTTTGTACCGACAATCCTTCCATCAACTTAGGAGCATGGATCATAAATTTTACTTCCCCTCCATTGTGAGGAACATTGTAGAGATCCTTTTCAAAAAGTTCTCCAGCAACCAAGGAAATTGATGTGGTAACTACCCAGTCATAGGTCAACCCTCCTCAACAATATCATGAGTTCTGGGATGTCTGTAATAAAAAGACTGCAAATCAATTACCTCCTCATCCCCTCCTATTAAACTGATTCCAGGGGCAGAAATACCTTTTAGCTGCCTTTTCAATCTGTCTGAACCTAAATTCAAGGTAATCAGGGAGTGGCCAGATGAGAATTTGGAAAAAGACTTTATTAGACACTCAACAACTTCTGCAGAGGCAACCCTGTTCTTTATTGAAAAAAAAAAAGAACGCCACCTTGCATCTGTGCATTGATTACAGAGATTTGAATAAAATCACTTTTAAAAAAATGCTATCCACTTCCCTTAATCTCTGAAATGTTAGATAGACTCCATTCTGCTGAAGTCTTTACAAAACTAGACTTACAGGGGCCATATAACCTTATGTGCATTCATCATGGAGATGAATAGAAGACTGCCTTCAGAACCAAATATTGGCATTTTGAGTCCATAGTTATGCTTTTTGGCCTTTGCATTGCTCCTGCAACAGTTCAATGCTTCATTAATGATATTTTTTTAAGTATGTTGGACCAGTTTTGTGATTGCTTATCTGCATGACATTTTCATCTTTTCTGAAAACATCGAGGAATATTGCAAGCATGTTTGCACTGTTTTTGAAAGATTAAGGAAGAACCAACTTTATATCAAACTGAAGAAATGTGAGTTTGCACGAACCCAAAACCATTTCTTGGGATATATTATTTCTCTAGAGTGAGCATGGATTTCAAGAAGATCAAAGCAGTGGTGGACTGGCCTGCCCCTAGAATCATTAAGGAAGTACAATGATTTGTTGGAATTGCCAACTTCTGCAGAAAATTCATAAAAAACTTCTGTAAGGTGATAGCACCAGTTTCACAGCTGACAAAAAAAGGGTTGCCCTTTGTGCAGTCACCTGAGGCTTCCATGTGCTAAATTGGGACAAAAGTGTGTGGGATCTTTCCACATTTCTGCTCAAATCAACCCAGACACTTTTTTCCCTTAAAACTTCCTGACACAATGAAGATACACCCTGTTTTTCACATCTCCCTACAGAAACCATTTCTTGAAAATCCTTGTAATTTGTTCCATGATCTTTAGGATGATCTTGGGTGCCGGAGGAGAACATTCATGCCCCTGGAATAACAAGAGAATTCCACCAGATGTTCCCTCCCAAACCTGACCCTAAGATGCCCAAAGGAAATCCTGCAAGGAGGAGGAGTACTGTCTGAGTATGGGTCTGAGCCTGTGACCACTCCTGTGTCTGGAAATGTCTCTTCTTGCTGAGCCCCTGAGATGCTGGACAGCTCCCTGTCTGAACAATGGACAATCCTGCAGTGTGCCTCGTTTCTGCTGAACCTTGAACTACTTGCTCCTCCCATTAACTTCTTATTTAAGCCATACCTTTGCACTTCCTGTTTGCCAGATTATTGTGCTCTCTTCTACCAATATCTCGCGCTTGTCATTCCTGCTGCCATCTGTATCTTTGCTACTACTCCTTACCTATCTTTGGCTTGTTCCTCGACTATGTTCTGCTTAATCCCAACCTGTAACTTCTTGTTACCGGCCATTAGCTTTTTTAATGACTATGCTTCTATTTTATCCTTACCTGCTATATCTGCTACTGGCGAGGCAATTCTTAGGACAATGACCTGATACTAACACACAGCAAAACCCATCTCCACCATCAGGAGCTCTGGTGAATACTGGTTAGTATTTAGACTCTACACCTCGGGTGAGCCCACATCATCTGCCAGGGTTACCAGCTTGTCTATATATCTTGCTGGTTGGTGGGGGGTCTCTCTACAGCTATAGCTTCTGGTCTCCAATCCTGACTCCAAACTGTGACAGTTGGGTTACTTCCCTGCCCTCAATCTTTGGACTGTAAAGAAGAAGCAGCTGCACAGTGATAAGTGATTTCCCTGCTCGCTGTTTTCTATACCTCTCTGAATGTTCCTTCCAGTACATTGCAGCAAAGTTACATAGTTAGGTCCCTTTTACATGGCAAGTACCATCAATTATTCAGGAGGACCTGATCAGATAGTCCATTCACCCCTATGGACAGGTTGTGTCCATTTACACCTGCCTAGTTCTGGGTCCGATCCAGTCCTACAAAGAAACGGGGGGGATCAGACCTCTTACATTTAGGCAGATCGCATTGGATGATAATTAAGTGTAAATGGACAGTGGAGTTCATTTACACCTGGTTACCCATAGAGCAGAGTGGGCTCTGTCCGGGTTGGCTCTGCATAATGTGAATGGACACGGATGTGTCATTCACCCACTCTGCTTTAATCAGGAGTGGCTCTCTGAGCAGATCCCTTGCTGATAGGGACAGAGTCCACCCCGTCTGAAAGGGGCCTTAGGCAAGTTGAAAAAAAGACACAAGTCAATCCAGTTCAACCTATACCCACACTTGGTTTAGAGGAAGGCAAAAAAACTCTATAAACCATAAAAATTACTTTCTAGTACCAGTTTCTGCTGCACAGGTGATTACAAGAGACTGATACTTAAGAGCAATATGGTACCTGCATTGTAAGAAAAATAAATGCTATATGTTGTAGCCTCCCTGGCGGTATTCCCGAGTGTAGCTCGGGGTAAAGTTTCAGTACCACAAGTGGTAACCCCGAGCTACACTCGGGCTTACCATGCGGCGCTGCTCCGGGATCTGTTCTTCTCTTACCTTGTCCTGTGCTCCCGCGATGTCCCTCCTGCTGTGTCCCCTGTAATGTCCTCCGGTGGATGCCAGCATCTGTCTTCTGGGTTCTGTCCCCTGTAACGTCGGGACGTATGGGGGACGGAACGGTGGGAAATTTGAAAATGACAAAAAGGGACATTCACTAAATTCACTAAAATCACATAGTATAACATTACTGTATCAAACCATTTCACATACATTTTGTCCCTAGTGCTTTGTCCTGTGCCCTGCCTACATTTTTACTGTTCTTTCTGCCTGGAAACTGAGAAACGTCCATGGGGTCCAAAAAGCGTCCCTTTAGGTCAAAATCAGTTTTAGACCAGCTAGAGAACAGTAATAGTAAATTAGAACCACTTGCAGAATGGAGTGATAATGATTCGTGGGGAAATTCGTCATCAGACACTGAAAACGATTTTTGCGACTTTGCCCACTGATGTGCGAACTTGGCGCTATATTTCAAATTTCTGTGTTTTTAGTTTGATTATATTATTGAATTAAATTTATTATTATATTATTATTTTTTATGATTATTTATTAAATTATAATTTATGATTTCGTGTTTCAAATTTTAACATACCCGGGATGTTTACTAGACTCTTGTTCGGACAGATTTCAGTGAGTTATTCCTAAAAATTACAGGCCTACAATAAAAAAATACATATTTCCATGCAAAATAATGTACCACTTTGAGCACAGAAATATGGACATAATCAGACCGCTAGGGAGGTTAATTAGCACCTACCTGCCCTAATTGGTGTTGTTTGTATAGTTCAGTTTTAAGCAATAATTTTGAGGCTTAGGTTGAATGTTAAAACACATATGTAAATCTAAAACCATAAATGTATTATATTGCAACTTACCAGTCTTTAAATGTAGTGGTTACATTATAGTGTAACTAAAGGCAAACCTTTTTTTTAGTTTTGGATAGCGGAGCAGAGCAAAGAGAACACCTGACAGATTTTTATTACTGTTTGTGCGCCGGTAGGTAGTTTCACCCTCTCTAATAGTCCTGTTGAATGTTATCATCAAAAACTAAATTAAATAAAATCCTACATTTTGAGTTGACACCAGAACAGTAATTTAAGCAAAAATATTTAAATGGTGATGCAAATTTTGATGACCCTGGTGACACCCTGGGATTCCATTATTTTGGAGGGATTTCCTTTCACTTCCTGTTCTGGGTAAGGGACAGGAAGTGAAGGCAAATCTCCCCTATGGGACACATATGACATAAAAAACTATGAAAAATTAACAAAGGAGGTTACACCAGCCTAGTGCATTATCCCACAACATTTATTTAAAGAATCATCAAAAATTATACTCATAAGCATATAAATTAAAATTGCCCATCAAGATACTCATCTGTAGCCCTACAGCCCTCCCCTTGAACTCTGAAGTGTACTGTGTGTCTAGGACTATAGGGCTACAAATGAGTAGCTCGATCAGCTTTTGAGTATAATTTATGATAATTTTTAAATAAATCTTGTGGGATAATGCATTAGGCTGGTGCATCCTCTTTTGTTTGTTTTTTTGTAGTGGCTTCAGGACACCTTTAGTCTTAGAGGGCAGCAAATCAAGAAGATTTATCCCTGTGACGTGAAGCTTTCTTTAATACCCATAAAAGGCCATCATGTTTATGCACAGGAGACATCTTTAATGGCAAACAAAAACCTGACTGGTGTTACAATCCTTCCTTACTCTATCCAAAATGAGAAAAAGTTTTGCCTTTAGTTCTATTTTCTTTTTCTTTTTGTAAGCTTTTTTTAACCTTTATTTTCACCTGGAAATCCTGTGAATAGCACACTTGCTGGCACCCCATGACTGCACTCATTTTTCCACTGTATCTATTGGGGAAGCCATGGTTGTCACCCAGACTGAGCTTCAAACCTGTCTACCATTGTTAAAGTCCATTAAAGGGTGGATTGATGGGATTAATAGTTTGAAACAGAAAGTGTACCTTGCAGGAAGTTACAAGGACAAAATCAAAAGGTATTTTCTGTACTTGCTGAAAATGTTCTTAGCCTGAAAGTTAATGTAGCCCTAGATCTAAGACTAAAGTGGAACTAAACCTAACTTTTAGAAAACTGCGAGCAGGCAGCTTTTTATTGCAGAAGAAACATGCTATGTTGTTTCTGAAATAATAAAAGGTTTTCTGCCCGCTCGCAGTGTATTTTTATTGAATGTACACTGAGCTGCTAGGCGCAGCTCAGCATGTGCACCTGGCATGCTTCCCGCATACCGGGGTGACTGACTCCTGTCCCTATGCATGGGGTGACCTCATCCCTGCCAATCAAGAGGCCAAAAAAAAAAAGGCACCCTGGGGAATGGTTGGCCGGTGAGGGATGTAACTGCCACATTGCTGGAAGGTGGAAGTGAGCATACTGGGGAGTTGAGTTACATTTTAAAACATTACTAATAGCCTATTTTTTTAATGCATGAAGGTGAAAATGAAGGTGAAAAACCTTCAGGCTTTGCATTCACTTTAAGCTTCAATATTGTATATTACGTTTTTTGTTCTTGGGTTTAGTTAAGCTTTAAGTTGATTGTAGCTGTATTAGTGCATTTGCGACAGAAACAATTGAGTACTGTCCGTGATACTTTTTTTATTTGCACTAACATACAATTTTGAGGACAAGCTTTCGGGGAATGCCCCCTTCTTCAAGGTCTAAGCAGTACTACTCACAAAGTTAGCAGAATGTTAGAAGAGATGAAAGAAAAAAAAAAAAGGGGGGCTAGAGATAAGATGCAGTCAAACCGAGGGGGGAGGGGATACTACACTCACACAGAGGGAGTCAAGCTACAGCTAATAGTCATAAAAATGTCGGATAATGATTGAAGAATCCCATGTCCAAATTAAGGCCCTTATCTCTTGTGTCAAATAGAATTATCATTCTTAGTTCAAAAGTTTTTCTTTCCTGAATGGATTTGAAATTTCCTTTAAGTACTAAAACATTGAGGTCTCCCATTGTGTGGCCTCAGAAATAAACTAATCATTAGAAAACTTTCTTCTGATAATGATGTCACAAATAATGGAAGCGAACCCTGCAATAAGAAACGCTGCAAACTGAGCAACCAAATCAATCCATCAAAAAGTGTCAGACACTCAAAAGGGATCTTCAATATCTCCGGATCATACAGCTGCACCTCCAGTAATGTTGTGTATCTTATCCAGTGCAGAAAATGCAGCAAAGGATCTTATGTTGGCGAAACAGGACAGAAGTTGCAAACAAGGATGAATTTGCACAGACATACCATCAAGGAACATAAAGAAGATGACCTCTGCACACCTGTAAGACACCATTTCGCACAACCAGGCCACACAATGGGAGACCTCAATGTTTTAGTACCTAAAGGAAAGTTCAAATCCATTCAGGAAAGAAAAACTTTTGAACTAAGAATGATAATTCTATTTGACACAAGAGATAAGGGCCTTAATTTGGACATGGGATTCCTCAATCATTATCCAACAGTTTTATGACTATCAGCTCAAGCTTGACTCCCTCTGTGTGAGTGTAGTATCCCCCCCCCCTCCCCCCCTCGCTTTGACTGCATCTTATCTCTAGCCTCCTTGTTTTTTTTTTTCTTTCATCTCTTCTAACATTCTGCTAACTTTGTGAGTAGTACTGCTTAGACCTTGAAGAAGGGGACATTCCCCGAAAGCTTGTCCTCAAAATTGTATGTTAGTGCAAATTAAAGAAGTATCACGGACAGTACTCAATTGTTTCTGTTAAGCTTTAAAAAACCCAGAACACCATGAACTACCAGCCCTGGGTTTTCAGTGCTAAAAACCAATATACTGTCTATCTGATTACTCAGACAAAGGCAGACTAGAACCTTATTTTTATGGATTATTTAAAAAATTACATAACCCTTCCATTGAGTAACTGTTACACGGTTATTCAGTAGAAGCACACATGATGTTATACTTACGTGGTTCTAATTTACTAATTCAGTGTTAAATCTCTGCCTTGAATAAACATAAATTGAATTATGCATACTGATATTTAATTAGGCTAAAATGGAGCTCAGAGCAATTTTAATAACTTCTATAATACAAAGTCAACACAGAGAATTAAAAAAACTTAGCAATCTTATATCCTGTGGTCTGAGATAAAACCTTCATCTAAATGGAAATATTTGCGCACAGGAGTAAACAAAACTATTTAGTGATTTAGAGAGAAAGAAGGACAAGAAAAGAACAAATGTGCTGGAACTTGCAGCAGTTGATCAGATTATGGTGTTATTTGTCTAGCAAAGTTCAGAAAGTTAAAACTGAGGCAGCTTGCAAAGATAAGCTACACATGATGATATAGACATTTCTTTAGAAAACATTTCTGCAGAAAGTTTTGAGTTTAGATGGTACTTTTTATTGGTCACCTTAAAGAGTAACATCCCTGCTCTAATTTTTTTTTAAATTCCTTCTTACCGCAAGTTTGGTTGTCCTCAGCTCAGAGGCTTACCCAACCAGTGGATCCAGCGTTGTCCAGCTGGGATCCATTTCTCCACTGACATCACCCTGGTCCTGCTTTGCCTACTTCAGTGACATTGTGAGGCAGCTGGCTCTTCTGTTCCCAAGCAGCCACCCCCGATGATGCTCAGCCAGGTCCGCCCTCCCTTTTAGTCTGCTAGATTCAAGCCATTGCCTCCTGAGATATGTGACATGCATATGCCAGGAGGCACTGGGATCAAGACACAATATTTTTGCCTTGGAGATCATGAAGGGCACGGACCAGAACAGAAAAAAAGGTACACAAACAAAAACACAAATACTTTTCATGTTGTAGGGTGGGGATTTAGAGTGGATGAAAGTTACCTTTAAATAGGAAGGTTCACTTTAGGTTTTTAAAGATGTGAGCATTCAGGACACCTTATATTCCTTCTTCAGGCTGTATACTGTACATTAAAACAAGTTAAAAAAAAATTCATTATGGGCCACTTGCACACAGGGTTGCCCTGCTACTGTGCATCCCTCCTGGCATTTTAGTGAGCCTGGGAAGGACAAGTGCAGCATCCAGCCCTACTGCGTGTACCCTGTTAAAGTCTAAAGTCAGCTTGCTGCTGGATGGGGCTGAGTACTGTATCAAGCTCTATTCACTTTTAGTGCCCAATACATTCAGGGACACATGCCTGGAATGTAGAATTAATTTATCGCTACCGTGTCCCACTACAGCCAGCCTTAGACGTTGACAGTCTGCAGGCA